TTTTTAAACTTGAACTTGATATTTTGTTTAAATGAAATTGAATTTTTTTCGCTAAGATTAATAAGTCATTGATTATTGTAATTAATTATTTTGCAATAAATTATTTATATATAATATACAAAATTATCGATTAATATCACATAAATAATGATATAAAGGATAAAATTTTAAAATAAAAATTTAAAATTAATGAGGTGATATAACTTATATTATTAAATTATTTAATATATATAATATCATAAGTTTCAAAAAAATAAAAAAAATTAATTAATAAATAATATAAAATTTACTTTTTAATATTTTAAATAATGTAACTTATACTATGTCATTATTTTTAAATTTTTGTTTCATTTATTATTATTATTATCCTATAGCTTTGGAGGCTATCATTTTGTAATTTCTTCACCTCATTGTTAGTAAATCTTATTGTCCTGCACATGTAATTATATATAGACAAAGGGGATGAAATTCATCCAAAGAAACAAAAGAACAGACACGAATTGTTAGAAGAAGTTAACCAAGGATTAAATTTATTATTATCGGTTGAAACTAACGATTTGTTGGTTTGAGTGAAAAGAATTCGGTTATTTTTAAACAAGATCTCGAGTTCAAGTCTTGCAAATAGAAAAATAGGTGTTGAGAGAGCTTTCTCTTTATGGATCCGACGTGGATTGATTCCAGATTAATCAGGATTTAATATGGTTGCTGGATATTGGGAGATTAATAAAAAAAAAACTGTTGAAACATCAACTAAATTTAAGGACTAATTTTGCGATTTACCCACTAAGTTTTTTGCTTGAGAGATCCATGGGCCGTGATCGGAGGGAACTCTGTAGGCCTTTTAAAAGGGATAGGCCCAATCCACAAAGAAGCTTCACACCCAAATCCGGCCCATTCACTCATCCCTGAAGTCTTCTTGAGCCGGAAGAAAGTCCGGGCGCTGAGGCAGCATAAAGCGGAAACCTGAGTTTGAAGAATTGCAAAACCGAAGAGACGATATGAGCAGCATCGGAACAGGATACGATCTCTCCGTCACCACCTTCTCGCCGGATGGCCGGGTTTTCCAGATCGAGTACGCAGCTAAAGCCGTCGATAACAGCGGGTCTGTTCAATTTCTGCTTTGTTTATGTATTTAGCTCTACGTGTTCCGTCTTCCTTAGTGACCTGGACT